CCAACCATGCTGCACCAGGAAAAAAACAACAAGCATGCAGAAGCTACTCTGCAACACCACTAGGCCGGTGCAACTTTGTCAACATGGCCACAAGTCAACAAAAATGGCCACTAAATTCTACAAAATTGCTAACTCCCAACTGCACTTTACTTTTCATTTATTGCCTTTCATTAGATTTTTCCTATAAATAGCCATGTTCTCACTATTGTACGTATCAAGTTTCAATCAAATTTCAGTTTATATTTCTCCTCTTTTGAGTGAGTTTTTTGGGAGTGGATTCTCTCAATTTATCTCTGTATCTTAGGTCTTGCCAACCTATGTGGTGAACTTGGCAATCGAATTCATCGTAGTGGGATTCTAAATCTCGTCAAAATCGGTGTTTCGGTATTAGCTCCTACGCCATTTGGTATCAGAGCCAATATATTTGGAGTCTGCACGTCATTTTGAGCGTTCTAGTGAAAGTCTGGTCAACGAACAAGGTTGAACGCGCCTCCACGCGCCACCGACATTGTCTCACTCGTCGGCCACTCGCACCACTGCAAATCGCGTGAACATCACACGCTGGTCATCTTCAACCTCTCATTCGACACGTCATCAGCCACGTCATTGACACATCATCATCTAGTCATTGTCACATCATCTATTGCCACATCATCAGACACGTCAGTGACACGTCATCACCGTAGCCGCACTCTTTTACCACGTCATCAAGTCCCTCAACTTATTTTGACCTTACAATTGACCCCATAATTTTATAAATTTCAAATTACCCCCACTCTCAAATACTAACTCTCCAAAAAGCCCCTTACCAACCTAAACTCATCATGCCTCCTAGAAGACAAAATCCTCCTCGTCAACAAGCTGTTCGAGACATAGAGATGGAAGAACTACGTTAAAAAATTCAAAAGCTTCAAAAAAGACTCGAAGCTTTTGAGGGACAACAAGCTCACTCCCCTGAAGCCTGAAGAAACACTTGAAAAGAAGGATGAGGACAAGGCTTTAATCTCCAAATCAACCTTTCAGAAGTTGCATCAAGAATTGAGGACAGCTTGTCTCTTGCTATTATCTAAAGTGAATGATGCCACTTCCCCTTTTCCAGAGGAAATTCGATCTCTCCTTTAAGAATTTTCTAATGTTGTTCCTGATGAGACCCCTCATGGATTACCGCGAACTCAACGAAGCAAGGATTCTATCATGGTTGTGCCTACAAGACCAGACTTCCAGGTGACTATGGAATCTCTGCTACTTTTAATGTTGCTGACTTATCTCCTTACTATGAGGATCATGAGCATTGAACTCAAACTCGAGGACGAGTTTTCTCCAGCCAAGGGAGAATGCACTAGGAAAAAAACAACAAGCATGTAGAAGCTACTCTGCAGCACCACTAGGCCGGTGCAACTTTGTTAACATGGCCACAAGTCAACAAAAATGGCCACTAAATTCTACAAAACTGCTAACTCCCAACTGCACTTTACTTTTCATTTATTGCCTTTCATTAGATTTTTCCTATAAATAGCCATGTTCTCACCATTGTACATATCAAGTTTCAATCAAATTTCAGTTTATATTTCTCCTCTTTTGAGTGAGTTTTTTGGGAGTGGATTCTCTCAATTTATCTTTGTATATTAGGTCTTACCAACCTAAGTGGTGAACCTGGCAATCAAATTCATCGTAGTGGGATTCTAAATCTCGCTAAAATCGGTGTTTCGATATCAGCTCCTACGCCATATGTTCTATTCCTTGTTCCAAACATATGATGACAAGAACCTTGTTTTTATTTCTCAACTAGTTGCCTTACAAGCTGCTGTAGTGGGGATGAAACCGGTAGTGTAAACTTGCAGGAACAAAACAAGGAGGCTTTCCACTAGAAATCCCATCAATTTCAGCCCAAAAACACTTTCTTTGCCACCAAACTTGTAGCTCCAACTTCACCATTTGCTTTATACTTCTCTTCTGTTTTATTACCCAAATAAAATCCACTAAAAACAAACAAAATCTAACAAACAAAACTGGAAACAAATTAATGATGGAAAAAAAAACTGAAAATAAACAAAATTTAAGAAAGCCTATATCTAAAGAAAGAGGGAGAGGAGATGAGACAGAGTTGAGAAGGAGAAGGGACTTCTAAAGATGTAGATGGGTGGAAACCCATATCTAGATTCCTCCTTTATTGAACGAGGTCTATGCATTATGAAATCAAGAAGGGGACAAGTGGAGAAGATGATGATAAAAAAGAAGAAAAGTCAGATGAAGAAGAAAGGAAGGAAAGGGCACATGTCATCAACACCGGCTCCACATTGGTGCTGTTGGTGAAGGGCAGGGAGAAATGGAGAAGAAGAAGGGTGGTCGAGCTTCATTGGAGTTTCTTTGGGAAAGTAGGTCTAAATTTCAGACTATTTAGGATAAGTTAAGAATAAACATTTATCAAAATAAAACATTAATTTTTCCTTTGAACCGCATGTGTGACGAGGGGGTGTTATTCTATGTGTACATGAATCATTATTCTTAATTTTTTTGCGTTTATTAAAAAATTAATATAAAAAAATGTTAGTAAAAAAAAGTTTTACACTATACAAATAAAGTTGGGGAGAAATCTTTAGTTTCAAAAAATGTGAAAAAAGGGGTTTACAAATTAAAAATTTTATGTTTATTAAAGAATTAATATAAAAAAAGTTTTATATTATACAAATAAAGTTGGAGAGAAATTTTTTAATTTCAAAAATTATGAAAAAAGGGGTTTGTAAATTAAAAATTTAATAAAAAAAAAAGATGAAATAGCTAGTTTTACTCCAGTATTAATAATCTTTTTTTTTTTTCTTTCTGATTTGATATTAATTTTCGAAAAGCTTAAAAAATGTTCAGGAAGTGAACGGACCCTCGACCTCAAGTAGTTCGTTTCCCCCTCAAGTAGTTCGTCTTCAAGCCTTAAAATGTTTAGGTCAATTGTTCAAGATTTTGAAACTTATTAACATCTTAGAAAAATTTATCCTTCCCAAATTATAAACCGTAAAAAAAAAGAAGAGTTCAGGGAGAAAGTTTTTCGGAATCCAAACAGCCCCAAAAGACTGGTTCGTCTCAGCTATGTTTAGAGGTGGTAAAAATTAATCCATTTGATCCATCAACTGGACTTTAATCGTCAATCCCGATCCTAACTTAACTCGTAAAAGTGAGTTAAGATCTACATATTTCAATTCGTAACTCATAAATAACTTGTAATGTTAACATATACAGGTTACAAATCAAGTTAAGGTAAACCTACAGGTTGACTGATTAACCTATTTATTTTATTTATTATTATCATTTTTAAAAATATTATACTTATTATTCTTAATTAAATTTTTTATTGGTAATTGTTTTCATTAATTCATGCCCTTCAATCTCATTTCCATTACTCAAATAGTTTTGAAGTTATTTTGAGTGTTTATTATCATAATTTCTTCTTCTTTCTCTAAAAATTATGTGAGTTTAATCAAATTATCAAGTATCATGAATTAAATAATAATGTAACTAAAAATATTAAATATGTGATGCTATGATATAAATATAATAATTTAGTGAAAGATGTTTTTGAAGGAGTAATTTCATTAAAAAAAAGCACTTAAACTCCTTGATAATGTTTCAAAATAATTGTAAAATTAAAATTTTATTTTTTAAAAAATTTAAATATTTTAAATTTAATATTATTAATCCACTTCCTATTATTTATAATTTTATAATTTTTTTTAATTTAAATATTTATGATTAAAACTATAAAGTGCTTAATATTAATAAATTATAATACTTATATTTAAATATATATAATTTTATTTACATATAATAAAATTAATAAAAATAATTATAATAAATAAAAATGATGTTAACTCACGAATTAATCATAACCTTTAATAAATAATTAATCCCAACCCACCCATTTGCCAGCTGAGTCTATTCTATATATGGCATGGCAGGAGGTTCAGTCTTTGCAATCCAAAACATACCCTTTAATTTTTCACTTGGGTCTGTTCTCTCGTGCATTATCTTCTCTCCTCAAGCCTCTCCAGGTGAAAATCTCTTATGGGTTCTTATTTTCGTTTCTTTTTCTGTGTTGGTCTTGCACACTGTTCCCAATTCCATGTTCTTGGTTCTTCTGGTTTGTTGTTTTGGTCGGCTAGTCGATGCTCTCTTCTCCTGATTTAAGCTTGAATTCTTGTGGGCTTGTTTTGAATTCCTTGTTTTTTTGGCTGCTTCTGCTCATTTCTGTCGGTTGTGATTAGATTGTTGGTGACTTAAGATGTATAGTTTTAAAAGTAATATATTTATAGATTCGTTGCTCAATTCGAATATTTTGAGAACAATTAGTTGATTTTAAGTGATTGTTACTGTTATATGAGATTCTGAAAGATTTGCTTACTGTCCTTCCTGATTTATATATTTGAACCATAGAAGAGTTTGGAGTGATTTCATTTTCAAGGTTATTTTTAATTGGAGACCATGTGATTTCTTATTATTTCCTCCATAAATTATGTTGTTGAAATCATATAAAGATATGTTTTTAGTTGGATTATCTTAACCTACCTTTCCATTTGCCCCTATCACATTTATGTTGTTGAAATCATATAAAGATATGTTTTTAGTTGGATTATCTTAACCTACCTTTCCATTTGCCCCCATCACATCTTTTTTTTTTAAACAAAAAAAAAAAACTTTTTCTTTTTATGATTTTGTTTATTTGCTGCTAGTGGCTTCAGTATTGGATATTTTGAAGGCTTCTCTTTTCTTAATTTCTTGAAGTAAATTTCTTATGCCAGTGCGAATTGTTGACAATTTAATTTCATTCTTAAGTAATGGGACAGCATTCCTAAATTGTTATTTTCCTTTTTTGATCTTTTTGTTTATTGCATTTAGAAAGACCATTACATTATAGATGGATCATGAGTGAATTGGGGTTTCCTGTTTTCTTCAATCTCATTATTTTACTAAAGTGATATTTGGTTAAAAATTAAAATAGTTTTAGTTTTGATAATTTGATGCTCACAAACTTTCATAATTCTAGTCAGTTTTTGTGGTGCAGAATGGGAAGTACTGATGGGACCAATTATGCCGCATACACCTATGAGAACCTTGAAAGGGAACTTTACTGGCCATCTGAAAAAATCAGAATTTCCATCACTGGAGCAGGTGGTTTCATTGCCTCCCACATTGCTCGTCGTCTGAAGAGTGAGGGCCATTACATCATCGCTTCTGACTGGAAGAAGAATGAGCATATGACAGAAGAAATGTTCTGTCATGAATTCCATCTTGTTGATCTTCGGGTCATGGACAATTGCTTGAAGGTTACCAATGGTGTTGACCACGTTTTTAACCTTGCTGCTGATATGGGTGGTATGGGCTTCATTCAATCTAACCACTCCGTCATCATGTACAACAACACAATGATCAGTTTCAACATGCTTGAGGCTGCCAGGATCAGTGGAGTTAAGAGGTCTGTTGCATTGGCATACCATGCCTTTTTGTTATTATTCTTCCTAATTTTATTGATAATTAAAGCATGTATCTGAAATCAAATGTCTCAATCTGTTCAGGTTTTTCTATGCCTCTAGTGCTTGTATCTATCCTGAATTTAAGCAGTTGGATACTAATGTAAGCTTGAAGGAATCTGATGCATGGCCTGCAGAGGTTAGTTGCTTGTTGTTTTGAAGTTTAACAAATGCAATTATGTTTCATTAGTTTGTGAGATGTAACTAATGATCTTTATTTTACTACTTTGGTTTTAGCCTCAAGATGCATATGGTTTGGAGAAGCTTGCAACAGAGGAGTTGTGCAAGCACTATACAAAAGACTTTGGCATTGAGTGTCGAATTGGAAGATTCCATAACATCTATGGTCCTTTTGGAACTTGGAAAGGTAAACTCTTGCATGTTGTGAGTATGCAAACAATTTGTTGCTTTTAGGATTCTGCTAATTTTATTGCTTCCTTGTATCTGTTATATAGGTGGTAGGGAGAAGGCTCCGGCTGCTTTTTGTAGAAAAGCTATTACTTCCACTGATAAGTTTGAGATGTGGGGAGATGGTCTTCAGACCCGATCTTTTACCTTCATTGATGAATGTGTAGAAGGAGTTCTCAGGTAAGATCTGGCTGGTTTTCACAGCACCATCTGTTGAAACCCATATATTATCCAAAAGAAAAATGAAAAGAGAGGCATTTGGGATTTCCATTATGTTGATTTCATGAATCTGGCATATACCATGAAAATGAAATGGATAACATGTTGTTACTTATGTCTTTGCCTTTTTTGTGTTATATTATGTTCTGACATATTATTACTTATGTCTTTTTTGTGCTTTGTTATCCGAGTTGAATCAAGAAAATTATCTGTGGTTTTAACTTTAGGTTCTTGGAATTGCTTCTTTTGATCCATGTAGAAAATATGGGAAATATGGGAATTTTTTTAGCTGTGTGTGTGTGATGTGGGACAGGTTAGGGGGTATGGTGGGCTCGGGGATTTAGAGGCTGTTTAGGCAAATATATACTGTGAATAGTATGCGTGAACAGTAAAATAGGGTCTGTTTAGGATAGAAAAGAGGAAGAAATAGAAAACAAACAACAAGAGGGATAGAAAAAGACTAGGAGTCACGCCTAGGTTTCTTTAGGCATCACACCTAAAGAGGATGAAAACTCTTAAGCATCACACCTAAGGTTAGTCACATCACACCTAAGGTTAGTCGCATCACACAACCAAGATTGCATCACACAACCAAGATTGCATCACACAATCAAGAGCAAAACTTGCTGGAAAATTCTGAATATTAGTAACTGAATAATGAAAGAAACTACATGCATATTTATATAGAAACTACTAAGACTCCTACTAGAACTCCTATTCTAATTAGTCTATAACTTGAAATTTAAAATTTCTAATTTAACTAGGACTTAAGACTCTTGATAAAAGCCCTAATCCTAATAAAAGTAGAAAAACTAATGATAACTATACTTGAATAAAAATAACTGCTTAAGAATTCTAAATAATCTAAATAACTATTGAATAGCTTCTTCTTGTTCCTCATCAGTGTGTGTGTGCACGCACATGCTTTTATATGGTTGTTTATGTCTTCAAAGAAGATATGCAAACTGGATTAATGCAGTTCTTATGTGGCAACAAGAATTTGTCATGCATTTTTTCTGTATTTAACATGAAATTTATATTTACAACCGTCATTGTAATATAGAAATGTATTTTGAGATTTATTGATTGTCATTCAACCTTGGGGTTATTCTTTTATGGTTGCTTAGTAGAATCAAGTCCTTGACCATCTTGAAATCAATGTTTTCAGATTGACAAAGTCAGACTTCCGTGAGCCTGTGAACATTGGAAGCGATGAGATGGTTAGCATGAATGAGATGGCTGAGATTGTGCTCAGCTTTGAGAACAAAAAGCTTCCTATCCATCACATCCCTGGCCCAGAAGGTGTCCGTGGTCGTAATTCAGACAATAGACTGATCAAGGAGAAACTTGGTTGGGCTCCTACAATGAAGTTGAAGGTAACTGCAAAACGCAGTCTACTTTTTCTTTTTCATGGTTTTTCATGATTTCCATAGCTCTCCTTTTTTGTAATATAAATTTAATTATGCTTTCTACATTGGAAGTGGAACGTTTAAGTCATCCCTTTTCCTATCAGTGACATTATTTTGTATACAAAAATCCTCTGATCTTCTGACTTATGCTACATCTGAAAATTTACTCTTCTCTAGGATGGGCTGAGGATTACATACTTCTGGATCAAGGATCAAATTGAGAAAGAGAAGGCTCAAGGTATTGACTTGTCAGTTTATGGGTCATCCAAGGTGGTGGGAACTCAAGCACCGGTTCAGTTAGGATCACTTCGTGCTGCTGATGGCAAAGAATGAAGAAATGGTTTTAAACCACAAATCTCATTTTTATAGTTTGTTTCGAAGCCGAGTTTTATTATGGTATGGCTACGTTAATGCCCTAGATGCAAATTCGTCAACCAGTATCATGTTGTCTAATGTTCTGGTATTTAGTTTCTCCCACATTTGATGCGTTGTAAGGTGAGCATTTATGCTTCCATTCCATTCTATTAATACGAGTAGCTTCGCAGTTGATCTGCAGCTAGCTCTAAGTTGATATTTGTAGTTCCTGAATAATAATAAAAATTTTATTTTCAAGTGTTGTAGCTTTGGTTCATTAGAGAATTTATCTCAGTCTGCTACATGTATTACATCTGAGTAATTCAAGATTGTATCTCGAATGTGATGAACCCAAATCCAAGTTCAAACCCTAAACAGCAAATTCATTCAACCATTTAGGGTTAAAGGAATTCGAACTTGAAAGTTTTTAGGATCATCAACTTGTGAACTAC